GTTCAAACCCCTGCAGTATTTGTCAACCTAATATGTGTGGTAGTAGTGTTGTACAGTTGGTTATAAGCTCGAAGGTCAGGGTTCAAACCCCTGCAGTATTTGTCAACCTAACATGTGTGGTAGTAGTGTTGTACAGTTGGTTATAAGCTTGAAGGTCAGGATTCAAACCCCTGCAGTATTTGTCAACCTAATATGTGTGGTAGTAGTGTTGTACAGTTGGTTATAAGCTCGAAGGTCAGGGTTCAAACCCCTGCAGTATTTGTCAACCTAATATGTGTGGTAGTAGTGTTGTACAGTTGGTTATAAGCTCGAAGGTCAGGGTTCAAACCCCTGCAGTATTTGTCAACCTAATATGTGTGGTAGTAGTGTTGTACAGTTGGTTATAAGCTCGAAGGTCAGGGTTCAAACCCCTGCAGTATTTGTCAACCTAATATGTGTGGTAGTAGTGTTGTACAGTTGGTTATAAGCTCGAAGGTCAGGGTTCAAACCCCTGCAGTATTTGTCAACCTAATATGTGTGGTAGTAGTGTTGTACAGTTGGTTATAAGCTCGAAGGTCAGGGTTAAACCCCTGCAGTATTTGTCAACCTAACATGTGTGGTAGTAGTGTTGTACAGTTGGTTATAAGCTTGAAGGCTCAGAGCTAAAATCCTTGCTGCATTATTCATTATAAAATGTTGTGGTGGGGTTACACAATAAACTTGAAGGCCTAGGGTTCAAATCCCTGCAGTAAGATGGTCCACTTCAGTCTTGAGGATTTCCCTGATTCAGCCCAGCTCTAGTGGGTACCTGATTCTTGTCAGGGAAATTTAGGAATTTTACCAACCTCATTCTTTCATGTTCAATGGTAACATAAACAAACTCTACTCCTTTTGCTTGATAAGTCTGATATTTGCCTTGTATGTGAGGTTTACATATATAATTAAAACCATATATAATTACTCGTCATGTATTAAAATTACTATTTTTGAGATTGTTTAAAATTTTTATTTTCAGCCACCAAACGGGCTGGTCCGCCCTTGTGATTGAGTTTATTTATAAACTACACAACATGGCGCACCCAGCCACAGAGACCTTGCTCCATGATCTTTTCCCTAAGCCACAAGCAACTGTCCATCATAGAAACCAGCATCAATCTCATTTGACCAAATTTTAGCCAGTTTTTTCTGCATCTTACAGCCATTTTCTGAAAAGTTGACACCTGTTTTTTTTTTTGTTGTGTTATGAATCCTATACATTTTTTTTACATACCATAACTCTGTATTTTAAGGATATAATGAAAGTGTATTATATATTTACATACATGTATATATGCAAATATTTATATCATTAATTAATTATATAATATAGCAACATAAGTAACATTTAAATACAGTTGTGATAAAATATTTTAATATTTATTCTCTGATTTAAAAAAAAAATATTTTTTTAAGAAGTCGTTTTTAACCAGTGTTATTTTTTTTTTTTAATCTAAGGTGACTCAGCTGTTATAAATAGCTTTATTTATTAACATAGATTGTTGATAATTCACTTTAGATTCTGTCAATTCAAATGGTTTGTGTGTTATACATGTGACTGTCTAGGAGACTCAGATCACTATGATATAAAGGTTTCTATAATGTTTAGGTCTGTAGGACATTCATGTCCTTTTGACATCCAGGACTAGGACATCCATGTCCCTAGGACATTGAAGTCACAACTATGATATGTCCTACAAGATACTATTGAATCAATTTTTCACCATATCATGTGTAGCTCTGGTGGTCTAGCACAGATATATCTAACTGTGAAATGAATAACAGCCATCATACATTTTTTTTATTTTGATTGCTTGTGAAATAGAAACTAACCTTAGTTAATAGTGAACTGATACAGTTGCTATTTCAGTTTTTTTAAATTTTAAGCTTTATCTTTTAACCATCAAATGGTGTTTTGTTTTAAACCAAATAAAAATATAGAGGTTTGTCTTGCATGTTTTATGACATCCATTACATTCACTGATTGGTTGGTTGTGACAACCACAAACTGATTGGTTGGTCGTGACAACCATCTACTGATGGGTTGGCTGGGACAATTATTTCCTGATTGGTTGGTCATGACAACCATTTACTGATGGGTTGTGACACCATCTATTGATGGTTTTGACAACCATCTATTGATGGGTTGGTTGGGACATTTATTTCCTGATGGGTTGGTCATGTCAACCATCTACTGATGGGTTCTTTGTGGCAACCATCTACTGATAGTTTGGTTGTGACAACCATCTACTGATGGGTGGGTTGTGTCAACCATCTACTGATAGTTTGGTTGTGACAACCATCTACTGATGGGTGGGTTGTGTCAACCATCTACTGATGGGTGGGTTGTGACAACCATCTACTGATGGGTGGGTTGTGTCAACCATCTACTGATGGGTGGGTTGTGTCAACCATCTACTGATGGGTGGGTTGTGTCAACCATCTACTGATGGGTGGGTTGTGACAACCAGTTAGTATTTAACCAGAGCCCCTGTGCAAGTTTAATCAGCTCCTGGTTTGTAAACCCTAACCACATCACTTGCTAACATTCAATACACCTAGTTTTAAAAAGATTCATTCACATTTAGCCAAAACTATGTGCAGTACTTCAGTATAAAATGTCTGATTAATTATATATTGATTACGTGTCAAACTAAATCCATTTAAAATTAAAATCCTGCTACACCACTTTAAATAAACAGTATAAGTATTCTATGTATAGTAGATACAATCTGGCAAGTTTCAAAAACTAGGTTGATCCTGATTTTGATCTGAGTTTCCTGTTTTTAATCAGCCTAACAATCAGCCACATGGTTGGGTAGTGCTAAAAAGATTTATTCATACATAAAAATAGCTATACAGGGTCTGGGGGGGGGGGGGGGGGGGGGGGGATTGTACTGGAGATTCAAATCAGCAATCAAGATTACTTTAGTCTTGATGAAATCAAACAAGCAAGGCCTTGGAGTGGCTTTGAGTTTAATGTACAATTACTTCAACATTTTGCTTGAAGATAAACCTTTGATTTAATTTCATAAAAATCTTGAGGGTTGGACTTTGAACTAACAGAAAGAAGTTATTAAAACCTCTTAATAATTATTAAGTCTTACTTTATCTAATTAAGTATACTTACATCTTTAAAATCATTTCTTTTAATATTGTCATTTATGTATTACTAATTATATAATATTACATAGTATTAAGACTTTATTTTTGAAGTATGTTTACATCTTTTTAACTGCAAAAAACAAACTAGTTACATATATATTCTCTTTACATATTATGAATTATAAAATATTAGACTTTGATAAATATACTAGCATATTTATAGCATTCTACTTTAGTTTAGTTGTTGAAATGATGCTCAGAAACACATCAAGGAAACACTCATGTAAATGAATTGTTCCAGATTTTCCATGGTAGCTCTACTTTTTATCTTGCTCAAATGTAAAAGTAGAGGTCCCTTTTAAACCTGAGAGTCCATGAGGCAAGTGAAGTAGAGTTCATCTGTTTCTGTGACCTCAGTGTATGAAGGGATAGTGTGTTCAGAACTATGCCTTGTCGTCTTTACCTTCCCTAGGTACCCATCAGAACTGGGTGAACTCAGGGACATTCTACTGACTTGAACCCGGTTTTGAGACTTATGAGTTAACAGTATAGCGCTCTACCTCTAGGCCACATTGTCCCCAAATGCGGTGGTCACAAAAATGGTTCAAATAACTACTATTGGCATGTGCATTTCTAGCGAAAAGCAAATCAATTAACAAAAACAAACATCTTATTTTAGATCATTTCAAATTTTATTAAGTATGCACAAAAATTAATAAATAAGGCTGTTGTTTAAAATAATCCATAAATATCTCAAATTGATTCTGTATAATGGTGACAGTAATTGACTGCATAGTAAATTCTGTAGCATGATTAGTGAAAACACATTAAGATGAATTATCTTTTATTTTTCAACGTACATGTCCAATAAAACAATGTCTTGTTGTGGGGAGGAGGTAGGTCTAGTTGAGCTTGTGTACCAATGATTTAAATAATTAAAAACAAATGACATCTAAATAACGTTAGATTAAACTGGACAAACCATAAACTTAAAACAATAATTGTCTGCAAAAGGTGATTGTGTATGATGCAAAGGCAGGCGTTTGCGGTTTATTCAACTGTGTACTGACAAATGTGCCTTGATGTCTCTCACAAAAACATTCCCCACATTCCATAAACAGGTATATACAAAACAAAGAATCCTTGGGATATCTACACAACTGTTGTGTTACTCTAAAACCATTGATCCTGGTTATTTACACAATTTTTGTTTTTACTATAGCAAACACAGAATGCACACGTAATTATCTTTCTTTCCTCACCCCAGTATGATCAATAAAGATAATTTTATTTAGTTTTTATAATAATCAACAACATTCAAATGGAATGTCTGAAAAACACAAAAATCTGACACCACTGTAAACATGCAAGCATGCAACATTCTCTATAATTTACACCATTGGAACATGCATGCATACTCTGAAATCTTACTTCCTTACTGCTTTTTTGATATCTAAAAGTAAAAGTTTCCCTTTCAACACTGACGGTCTATGGGGTAAGTGAAGTAGAGTTCACTTGTTTCTGTGACCTCGGCATATGAAGAGATAGTGTGGTCAGCACTATGCCCAGCCGCCTTTACTTTCCCTAACGTGAGTTAGGTACCCATCAAAGTTGGGTGGACTCAGGGACGGTCTACTGACTTGAACCCAGATTCGAACTCGAGACTTACGGGTTAGCAGTCCAGCTCTCTACCGCTAGACCACTCCGTCACCGCTTTTTTTATATCTGCAACTAAAAAAATTCAACTAAATTCCAAAAACAAATATTTGTTTTAAATATTTAAAACAAAATATAATTTTGATATTGTTTTAACAGGAAATTATGCAATACATCAGTGAGACCACTAAGAAACTATTTTAATTGATGGTGTTTAGAAAGATCTAATACATTGATATAGCTTTTATTTTATAACCACCAGTATTAAAACCAAGCAAACAAATCATTTTAACAGCTGTACATAGTACCCCAAACCAACTAAAAGCTGACACATTGCTAAAACAACTATCTTATTCATTCACTTCAACTTTTTCATTTCTTTTTTTCAAAACAATCATACAAATGTACATTCATCTTTTTATATAAATTAAAACATTTACTTTGTACATGAAAATTTGAATAAGTAAAGAGAGTATTTTAAGTTTCAAGTTTGTCATCAAAGTGTACCCAACATAAAGTCACATGCACTTAAGTTATTTAATTATTTTTTTTGAGTATTCCTTTGTTTGTCAACATGGTGATAAACACCAACTTGAACTAGTTTATTTGTGTTTGTAAAAACATCTTGTGCCCCTAGAACAGTTTTGCTAACCAAAGAGACTGGAGCCGCATACAACACTTAGAGATAAACTAGAACGGATGCTTGAGAGAAGGGACATAAAACACAACAGTTGTGCCAGTGGTTCTCTAGGACCCACTTGATGAATTAAGGGGGAGATAATCAACAGCTTCACATGACTCAAGTGTCTGGTTACAAAGCAAGGTCACAATCAGAGGGCCAAGAACTGTCTTCAACGTTGGAAAATCCAATAGAAATGAAGCTATATTTAAATATCTAGCGATAAGTTAGATAAAAAATTAAAATGTAAGGGGAATCAAGTTTACTTTAGAAGTTTTAACCTCATCACTACAATATGTGTATGTGGCAGTACTCCGTGGTATCCTTGTGTCATGATCACAGAATTCATATTTCTGATTTATTAAATTTATAGTTTTGATAAAGGGCATATTTTACTGGCTTTTAAGTCATGGAACTTATATAAAACTGAAAAAAAAATCACTAAAAACATTTAAATATACTTAATAAAGTAGATTTGCAAGTATACCATATCCTGCAATCTAAGATTTGGAAAAAAAAATGCCATTTTTTTTAGATTCATTAAAAAATATTTGAATACATACATTCTTATTTTAGATTTAACACACATTTTTAGTGTTAATAATTTACTTGAACAAAACAGTCAATCAGTTAAAATGACCAAAAGATTTACATATTCACAAAATCCACAGATACTAATAAAATAATCTCTTTATGGTCTCTAAAATATTTTAAAAAATCATAATATAATTCTTTAGATAGGGCAACAGCTACTTAGCAATAGTTTTAAGTAAAACAAAGGATCAGCAAGACTGTTCAAATCTTTTTCAAAACTTAGCCATTGCAAAATTAAAAAAAAAAAATATTCAGCTTAAAAAAAAGACAAAATGTATGAAATGAAACCGCTCAGTTTAAAGGTTTGATTTGAATTAAATATAAAATAATAAAAAATATTTTTTAAAAAGTCTCATCTAAAATCCAACTTAACCTCATTGGCACACTGCATTAATTGTTTTTTTTTAATTGAAAATAATTTATAAAAATAAACAGAAAAAAAAAGATGTTTCATAAATATCAATAAATAATAAATGCCATAATAACAACCTTCAAATACTCAGATGCATTTGTACTGCCCTAGTAAGTATTGTGAGAATGATTGGAGAGGATGGAAAACATTGAGTCTAACCAGCATTTTAAATTAAATTTTGGTACCAATGTTGTTCTTAATTACACCAAACAGTACATCAAAATAAATTTAAAAAAAAAAAGAATTAAGCTTGTCTCAGCTTCTGATATTAAAGTTTCTGTTTCTTAACAACTGTGGATTTGTAACACTTTACTTTTATTACATCAATTTAATTGAGCAACAACTTAAAATAATGAGATTGTAGAATAACAAGTGCATGAAATTTAGTTAAAAAGAAACTTGACAAAATGCCGACTTAGCTCAAGACTTTGTGATCACTGAATTGATCACAATAAAACATGAACATATGAACAAACTTAATTTAGCAGATGAAAATAAATATGTTTTAACACAGAAGTTAACATATGGAGCCTTTCATTCTAATAATAACAGAGGTTTACAAATGATTTTCTACCAATTTTAGCTATGTCATTTTAAATTTTAAACTTAAACTTTTGATTCCACAGCACTGAAAATAATCAAACAGTTTCTCATTTATTTTTAGAAATTTCTTTAGTTTGTGAAAAAAAATCTCTCAAGTAACTGCAATTTTGTCTTGTGTTGCAGAGTAAGGTCTTTAATACAGAGAAGTAGCAAACTAAAATTATTTTCCTTAACATCGTTAAGTGTAAAATAAGATTTCTCTCCCTTATTTGTATTCACTTTCTTATAAAACAAAATTATTTTGCATTTGTAATTGAAGTCTTAATTCAAACGTAACTAGTTTAGTTTTTTAAAATATCTAAAATAAATTATAATATATCCTGAGCTGGTTATAGAAAAAGCTCCCAAATGCAATAAAATTATAAATTAATATTACCATTCAGGATACAGAACTGTTTGCATGTCTATTACATTCAAATGACTAAATTGCACAGTAAAAAGGCAAAAGTTATGTTTATTTACATTGCATCTCAGATTTTTCCATGAACTTTTCATTTATATATGTGTATTTATACATAACAATTCCCTGGTTATATTTTAATAAATTAAGTGGGCGTTTGTTATTTTTATTTCATAAGAGCAACACAAGGCACCTACCAAATATAAATAAAATCCATTTCAGAATGATTAAAACTGCACTATATCAAACAAAGTATACTTCTGCAGAAAAATGTTGCGATAACAAAGTTTTGGAGTAAATTTTTAAACTGGAATTGTTTTTCACAGCAAGCCTTTAAAAACAAAATAGAAATAATAAAATTGTAATTTTTAAACTGCTAGATGAAGCTTCTTGAAGGTAACTTTTTATTTTTAAACCCTAAGTACAGAATTGATCTCAAACAGCACTGCCTTTAGAAGGATAATTGTCACTCTCTGTCACTGGCATGGTAACAAACATTCCTGTTGAATCAAAGTAAAACATTAGAAATAAAGAGCAGGAATTATAGACTGCAGCCTACCTACATTTTATTTGAAACCAGTCTGATATTTATTGAACTATCCATACAATATCTTTAAAGGTCATGGTTATTGTAACAGACATTCTTGTCCATCCAATAGATCCACAAACTCAAAAGTAGATTTTGAATGTCACATAATTTTATCCTCTTAAAATTATTTTGATTCCCCCCCTCCCCATGACTAATTCCTGTCAACATTACGGTGCACCAGATTAAGCAAACACAAACAGTCAAATATTTTCACCACAAGACATTCCTATCAAATACTATGTGTTCTAAATATATATAACAAAATAAGAGTAATAAATCTAAAATATCAAGCAGAAATATATTCCCTAATATTTAAAAAAAAATGTAGTTAATGTTAAGTTGTACATTAAAATTATTTCAATAGTGTACCTGGTGGATCAGTGAAATAAACTCTAGATTGTCTGACTGCAAGTTCTGTTTCTCTAGAAGTTTCTGTGGTGGTTGGCCGGTGACACACATGGCAAGATGGAACTGACGGCCGCAGGACACCAGCAGACGCTGACAGATCTGGGCTGGCAGGGAAAACAAGCACCCCTGGGGGTTGAGTCTCGGCAGTTGCTGTGGTCACCACTCTAGAGTAAATCCTGTGCTGGTCAACCCTCCATGAGTACACAGCCTGAGCAGGGTCCGGCACCAGGAAGACTGGCTGGCCAGCTGTTTCCTGTTGCCTGGATGGATAAGACTCTAACTTGCTGACTGTTACGTTACTCATGTCCCCGTATGCCACAAGGGAAGTATTGACCACACTGCTCATGCCGAGCTGGACTTTCTTCTCGTTGAATTCCTTCCTGCTGTAGAAAGTACTGCTGCGCCTGTAAGATGAGGAATTTTGTATCTGCTTTCTAGAAATGTAGGCATTCATGTATGAAAGACGAGCAGGGGTGCTGTGTGTTCTACGATGACGACGTTTCAGCCTCTGTGAGAAGAAAGGGGCATAAGGAGGTTTAGTCAATGCTGAAAGCGACGGCACCACATGAAAGTTGCTATCACTCTCAGAGCTCCTGGAAGCCAAAGCTTCGCCTCCACCATCCACACTGTCGCAGTCACCGTCACAACCACTGGTTCTTAAATTATCCGAAGAATTATCACTACAACATTCCGAGGAGACCAGGTTGGATTGTGATGAGGAAAAAGACTTCCAGGAACAGGTTCCAGCACTGGCATCTGATAAACACGGCGACGACAACGAATCGTTTAAATTCCACAAAGGTTTCAGTAAATGCTCTTTTGTTATTTCTCTTTGATCCGACTCCCGTCTTTTCCTTTTAGAAACACAAGAAGGTCTTAAAGAAATGGGAGTGGAAAATATAGTCAAGGTGTCTTTGTAATGATTACTGGGTCCCTGAGAAAATGGTTTAAAATATGTATTTCTGTTGTGACCACTGGTGTTCTTTTCTTCACTGGAACTTGAAGACCCCTTGCCCTTGTAGATGTTGGAATCAAAGCTGCTGCTATCACAGGAATCTTTGTGCAGGCCGCTACTGCCGCAGGTGCTCCGGTTGCTGTCAGCAGGTGAGCGACAGGTGTGTGTAATCCCGTCGCAGTCGCACGATGTTTCACTCGGGTTGACGTCTGACGAACAGGATCCGTGGAGGGCAGTGGTGCTGACGGCCCTTATGCCCTGGGGCAGGGCTGGCACTGTCTTAGCACTAACTCTGAGGCTGGGAATGTTGGAAGATAGAAGACGCGAGGGGTGTGAAGATGGAATGTATAACCTTGAGTCCTGCGTGCGAACGCCTTTAGATTCTGAAAAATGCGAACATCCGCAAACAGGGCGGGTAGTGTTTGAAGGGAATACCTGAGAGTGTTTGGTGTGAGGGTAGGACGGAGAAGCTGCATGAGACTTGAGTTTAACGTAAGATTTTCTTTTGACTTTTGCATCTACTTCCTTGATGTTTGTACAGCTGGCTGCAGGGATTAATCCAGAATTGTTAGCACAGGTCTGGTCGGGCCTGGAGATTTGATTGAATGAGTTTGGAGATGGGGAGGAGCCTAGGGTCCCATGACAGGAGGAGCAGCTATGGAAGTAGCGAGGGGCGGCGCTGGTGTGCACTACTTGAAAGGGGGTGTACTCTGGCTGAGATGAGAAGAGCTGGAACGGAAAGCTGGACCTTGACCCAGATGCACTCGGTGCAAACAAGGAGTACGTTGAAGACCTTTGGCGGCGCGTGCGCTGACGCTGCTGTGGACGGGGACGATGTCGCTGGGGCTGATTTGATACTGTTAGAACTGTGCCATTATCATTGACAGCTATTTCTTTTTTTTCTGAAAGTACAACGAAACATTTTTTTATATTTTTAATTTATGTACATAAGCTCTAATTCTTTTTAGAATGAAATGCTAAACTACAGATAATAACTGGAAATAAAAACATTAAACGAACTATGGGTATTAATCTTTTAAATTTTGTAGCTAAGTACTAAGAGAAAGAATTCTCTTTTAAATATGCGAGTGCTGGTTAGAAAAATGAACCATAAATTTTTTACCAGCAATGTGGATCTTGCAGAGCGGACAAGTGCCATGATTCTCCAGCCACGGGTCAACACACAGCTGGTGGAACTCGTGATGACAGGGCAGTACCCTCAGAACCTGGCCAGGCTTGTAGCCCTCCAGGCAAATGGCGCAGCTCTCAGATATGGAGCTGTGCAGGCTGGTATCAGAGCTCAGGGCGTGAAAAACCTGGCTACCGTGGATGGGATGCTGGTACTTCCTCGTCTCCAGTTTAGCAATGGCTCTTTTTGTGTGGTTGGTCTCTGACAGCTGCGGAACAATGGAGAACACAGATAATTAGGTGCTACTGTCTAAAAGTTTATTAGTGAAAATTTTACTTGTTTACCGTTTGGATTTCTTTGTTACAATTTAATAATGTACAACTAATAAGAAATTAACAGATACCAAAGAGGATTCCACAAAAAGAGGGTTTCCAAATTTAAAATATTAACTTTCTTGCAAAGGGGAACAACTAAAGAAATACTAAACACAGAACAAGTCAAGACAGGAGGAAAGAAAATCAAATAATAAAATATTTAGAATTTTAATATTAGTTTTTTTCCATTCTTTTTTTATACCTATCATCGGACAGGCTTTGTTGCTAGTTTGTAATATTTCACTGTCAGTAATTAAATTGTAGTGTGTAACTAGGTGTAACAGGTAGCATTTTAGGTGCTCAGAAAATATTTAAGTCACTGATTGTTAATATGACCTAGGGGTTCAATTACTGGTTTTGGCAGAAAAGCAGTAAAGTGTTAAATACAAGCAGTGTCTAAGAGTTTTTCTATTCCATTGATATTAGATTTTAAATCCACATGTTATGAAAAAGTTGAGATCTGAGATTAGACAAAATGGACCTAAACAAAAGAAAGGTGTGACAAAATCCAGGTGATATATTTACCTGTTGTTCTCTGTGCCTCCATTTTAGCTGGGGAAGAAGCAAAAAAAAAATGTTAAAAGCTACATAAAAGTATTTTTTTTTAACATTTCAGCATAACACTATTAAAAGGAAAGATAAAGCCCCCTCCCCCCCCCCACTGATTCCAACCTAATCTTGTTTATTAAACTACAATGTTTTAAAAATTACTTTTGCATATCAATGAGGCTTACTTATAAAAAAAGTAAACACAAATGTTTACATTCTGTGTTGACATTGTTAATGTTTGCAGTTTGTTTCTATTTACATTTTTAAAATTTAATTATTGTAATTAAGGAAATTTGAGAAAATCATTAATTATGTTTTAGTTTACAAAAAGAAAATAGGACCAGGAGAGATGTTTTAATTATATATAAAAAAAAACAACACTTAATAATTTTTTTTTAAAGTTGAAAGAAATACCTTAGCTTTCTTTACCTTTTAAGAAAAAATAGAATTTACTAAATGTTTTATTATAATGACTGTCCCCCCCCCCCCCCATAAAACTACAATTAACAATTGGTGGTGTTCTGAAGAGTTACACTGCCAATAGAGGTAGCGAAGTATATCTTGTACAAACACATTTTTATACCCTAAAATAATCCCAAGCCCTCTTTCAAGCCTAGCTCTCTGTTCATTCATGTGAAGGCGGATCAAAAGGGGCCGAAAAACCTCGGACTGTTATACACACAAAAAAGGAATTAAGACTGAAAGTTGACCTTTGAACTTTGCTTGTTTTGAACTACCAACACGCGGCCCAGTGGAGCCGCCATGTTGGATCGCGCGGGGCTGAGACTATGTTTTGGTCTGGTGGGTTTCTCTAAAGCCCGACTCTCCCCTCTTCCATTACTTTTATTTCATTACATTTGATTCAAATAAACAGGGACTCGGCTCCTTTTTTCTAGTCTTTTGATCCTGTTAATAATTTCTGCTTCTACATAATTTTTTTTAAACAGACGTAATATTTTTTTTTTTAAATTTGAAAGCGAACCAGCCAAGTATTGAAACGAGATACAATACAACCCTATTAAAGTATTATATATTTTTATATCTCGGTAATAACGCTAAAAACGTGAATACATTTCAAAACCGTCTTCCATACATGAAAGCCTGGGTTGCGTTTGAAAAAAAAATACGGCTTGTGGTCGTTAGAATATACAAAGCTAATCTCGTATCTCTGTTGCTATTCTTTTACTTTTTAAAAAAGTGTATTTCGGCGCATATTGTGAAATACAATAAACCGTTTTGTCGTGTATATATCACATCTAAAGCAACGACGTGTTGAGAAGAACTCCCTCAATCTCTTTCTTTGTTACTGTGCTGAATTTCTTCATCATCACCCCCCTACCTCCCAATCTAAATAAAACGAAAATTTCCGTTATGTTTACCAAAACGTGTGTCCGTCTGTTGTAAATTGTCTAACTGGGTTTTAGGGCGGGCAAAAAAAAAAATGATCGCAGAAGCGTAACCAGTGGGGTGAAACTATGTGGAATGCGCCCCCCCCCCTCCCGGCAGATCGACACATTTCACAATGACTTGTTTTTTCCCATTAATACACTGAAGACAGAATGTCCTACCACTCTATCATTGTTGGGTTATACGTACCACAGCAATATGGAGACTAATTAATAGTGTGTCGATAAAAACAAAAACATCATCCAATCACACAATATCGTACCCCGGGGTGCTATGGCTGCGCCGCTGATCGTAAGATGCATCGGAGTTTTCATTTCAGATTTCTCGTGCAGAGAAACACGCAACCACTTACACATCAACACCTTAAACCCCACACACAACTTTAAACCCCACACACAACCCAACCACTTCCACAACATCTAAAACCCCACCCACAACCTAAAACCCCACACACAACCCAAAACCCCACACTCAACCCAGCCACTTCCACAACAACACCTAAAACCCTACACACAACCCAAAACCCTACACACAACCCAACCACTTCCACAACACCTAAAACCCTACACACAACCCAACCACTTCCACAACAAAACCTAAAACCTAAAACCCAACACACAACCTAAAACCCCACACACAACCAAACCACTTCTACAACAACACCTTAAACCCCACACACAACCCAACCACTTCCACTACAACACCTAAACCCCAACCAGACCAAAACCCAAAAGACTTGAATAAAGAAAGACACATGAAACAAGGCTTAATGATTTGTATAACGTAGTCGCAAAGAAAAAAAGTATCGATCTTGATATCAAATAGCACGGTAGCTCTGTCTCTTTGATGTCGAGTCCAATGTCAACACACTAATCCGGGAATCGAATTATTTATAAACGCGTTCGATTACAAATAATGGGTATTATCAAACTAATTAATTTTTAAAGATTGTTGAAGTTCAGAAATTTCGTTAAGCCTATTTTTTTTAACGCAATTGATTTTTTTTAAAGAAAAAAGGAACACGAAATAAAGTCAATATCCATTTTCGAAAACTTCAAAGAGTAACCAATATAAGTTTTGTTTCGTAATTTTTATTTTCCCTTTAAAGTTGAAAGAACTTGATTTTTTTGGTGGGAATAGAGTCAAGGGGCGGGGGGGGGGGGGGGGGGGGGGTCACTTGTTTGGCGCCACATGTCTTTGTTATTAAGTCACATTTCTATTGTATATCGGCGCACGTCAACAGTATGGCGTCATATTTGTGTTATGTTCGGTAACGTGCGCCTATTTTATCAGCATAGACCTAATTAAAAGAAAAATTGCCCTAACATGTCTGATCTATCGACATGAGGGCCTCGCACAAAAAGGTCCCTAATACACAGACGTAAAAGGTCCCTTGCATGCGTGCAGACATAAGATCTTGCAATAGCACCTAAAAGTATATCACGTCCCTGAAATACTAATATAACACTCCCATTATAATGATTTATTTTGTTTTGAATAAAACTATATGATTCTATAAAGTATATCCCCATTAAGGCTATAATGTATACCCTCTTTAGCTTCCGCATTTACAATTTGAAATTATTTTTTTATCTCTACTGTCGGGGAGGGTGTTATGTGTAGCTGTGTATGTGAGCATGTGTTGGACGAGCAGAGGTGAAAGCATGACGTGTTAGCACCCCTAAATTGACACCTGTCTCACTCGTACGTTACAGGTATTGACCACAGCACTCGTGTCCACGAAGGCGCGTTGGTGTCACTTTCAACATTGTGAATGTCATCAAACCGCAGTTTTACGTTTCAAAATAAAATAAAATCCATATCTATATGCATCTCCACGTTTTCAAAGTAAAATTGATATCTATATGTGTGTCTGTGTGCCTGTCTGTCTGTGTGTGTGTGTCTGTCTATGTGTGTCTGTCTATGTGTGTCTGTCTGTGTGTTTGTCTGTCTATGTGTGTTTGTCTGTGTGTGTCTATGTGTGTGTCTGTCTATCTATGTGTGTGTCTGTCTATCTATGTGTGTGTCTGTCTATCTATGTGTGTGTCTGTCTATCTATGTGCGTGTCTAACTATCTATGTGCGTGTCTCTCTGTCTATCTATGTGCGTGTCTGTCTGTCTGTCCGTCCATCCATCCATCCATCCTTATATCCCCATCATAGTATAAATCTGCCTACATGACTGTATCTGTTGCATATTGTGTTTTTATACATAATAGGATAAAGTTTTACGTGTCTGTGATAGAACGTTTGACTATGTCAGAGTATGTGTGAGTGCATGATAGAGTGGTGGTTTATAATGTATGATTATACGCACACACAAGTGTAGGCTGCTCGTGGTACTCACCTTCAGCATGACGAACACGCAGACAATACAGAAGAGTAAAAAGATCGCCACAAAGATGGCCATGCCAAAGTATTCTTTCTTATTGATCTGTCAATAGAGAAAAATAAAACTAGTAACATGTGTTTGCTAGAGGCCGATAAAACATGCTGTGGATGTTAGGTGGATGTGAAGGATACAGATAGCTAAAACATGGTGTGGATGTGAGAGATACAGATATCTAAAACATGGTGTGGATGTTAGGTGGATGTGAGGGATACAGATAGCTAAAACATGATGTGAATGTTAGGTGGATGTGATGGATACAGAAATCTATAACATGTTGTGGATGTTTGGTGGATGTGATAGATACAGATATCTATAACATGCTGTGAATGTTAGGTGGATGTGATAGATACAGATATCTAAAACATGATGTGGATGTGAGAGGTACAGATATCTAAAACATGGTGTGGATGTTAAATGGATGTGAGATATACAGATAGCTAAAACATGATGTTAGCTTACAAGTAACATCTGCTAATCTAGATCTCTGGAAGAGATACAACACAACTTCAAATCTCAACTCTATAGAGCGTAACTCTTCTTTTTATGGGGTTATTTTAAGGGAGGGAGCACCACGGCTGGCTCATGACGTCATTTTGTCCTGAATTTACCTCAGATTGAGGCTATTTTAAAATCAGGCTAGCCATTGGTCGTTTTAGTGTGTTTCAACAATCCAAAATTTCTTGTTTCTACTTTTTATATGCACTGCGATGATCCCTTTCAGAACATACAATGTTATTTTTCTTTTAAGTCATGGTTAGTTCAGCGTTAGGAGAGGAGTGGGTTATGGTTAAAGTATGGGACAAGATCAAGGTATCGATTACTTTGCTACACAAGCTACTGCTGTCCGGTACCACTTAATTAAATGTGTAAAAGATGTAGTTAAAAAAAAACCAACTTACATCCGTTTGCTGACTCCGTTGTCCGCGGCGGATCCGGATTCTTGCCGGAAGATCTGACCGGACAATCTTCATCAGCTGGACGGCATCTGACCCCTCCATCACAATCACCGGGCGGGTCAGCCTCTCATGGAATCTTTGCAGCTGGAAAACCATTGGACGAAAACATGAGGCATGCGCGCGCATGATTGGACAAAAGTTGTTTTATTAATTTTTTTACATAATGTGTTAACCACTTCACACCCTGAAGGTTAAGTTATTAGCCAAAAACCTAACATTTTTGAAAACATGAAAATAAAAGTGTTGAAAGTATTACAAGAAAGAGGATGTGTTAGCACTTATGCAGCGTTGCTATGTCTATCAAAGTTCGCAACCCAGGCGAGTTAGTTGATTCTGCTTATACGTAGGCTACATATAGCAAATTTAAGGGAGTATTCGTTTTTTAAAACCCAGTTTGTGGGTACCTGGGTTTCTAGAAATCAGTTGATCCATATACATTTCTAATACATAAATTCACTGAGAGTCTAACATAATTCCATTATAACTAAAACACAGCAGTTTTATGAAATTTGTTTTAGCCTTAAACTTCCGGAATATAGATAAACTTTACTTCATATTCCCCGTGGACAATCCATACTTAAAAGGGAACGTAGCGGTTTTAATGTGTAGTTCATACAGTGAACCCTGTTGGTTTTCACGCACACATTTGTGTAAAAGAGGGCATTGTGTTGAGTTGGGATCCCGGACACTAGTCTAAAGAACTTCCCTGAATCCAGCCAGCTTTGATGGTGATTTGACTCACACATATAATGCTGACCACACTATCCTTTCATAAGCCGAGGTCACAAAAACAGGTTAACTTCATCGTCACGTTTGAAAGGGTAACTTTACATCATTGTTTAATTCATTACGACGCTATGTCCACGTTTTTAACGTCAATCTGTATTATTCTAGTGGGCATTACTTTAAGCAAATGGGGAAATTGCAAATGAATAAAGGTTAGGCACATAACGTTTTGGCAAAAAATGTAGAAGGGCTATAACTCTTACGTCAGATTGTGCTCCAGAGTTGTCTGTGACGTCAAACACAACAGCAGTAGCCCCGCCTTGTATCGCCAACTTGGCCTGAAATAGAGACAGGAGCCATCAGTTTATGGGGGGTCAAGTTGGTACTCATGGTCAGTTACCCCACACATTGGAACTACCAGCATCGAAGTAAAGGTTTTACGAAGGTCACACCCCCTCCCCCCCAACACACACGGGAACTATCAGCATCGGTGGATAAAGTTAGTTCTTAAGGTTTTATGAAGGTTACTCCCCACCCCCCCACCCCAACCCACACACAGGAACTACCAGTATCTCAAGGTTGCTGAAGTTTACTCCCCCTCCCCCCCACCCCCAAAATGAACAAATTACCACTGCTGTATAGGGTCAAAGGTCGCCCCAACATCAAGTTCACCCATCCCTAAAGAGGAACCATCAGCACTTTAGGCGTAGGTGGAGAGATGGTAGGATTTGGACTAAAAATTTCGGATGGGGAGGGGATGGTGGACAGATTAAAAAGGTTTAAAGTACGGTTTAAATTTTACTTGACCCGGAGACGCCACTAACCCCCCCCCCCCCCCCCCCCCCCCGACACATCATTCAATACTGAAACGATGGAGACCACAAAAACAATAGGAGCACGTAAACACAGCATTATTCAGTTTGTATGGTCAATAGAAATTTTCCACGGGACTTCATTAGAGACTTCAATCAGCTCTAAATATTATTTGTGCAAATTTGTCGACAGGCTGGCCTTAAAACACGCGGAGGTCAAGGGTTAATTTGTAGTAATCACGTCGCCAGAAAACCTCTTTACAGGGCGGGAATTACTTTTTGTAAAGACCTTAGCGCGCGGTGTAATAGGTTTAATAGATGGTCGGGTGAGCGGGGGTGAAGGCGGATTGATTCTGAGATGGACGTTAGCAGAAGATGATAAGGAGCTTAAGAGCTGATGACAAGTGGCCGAGCGGCCCGAGGGTGACCCGAGAACGTGAGCCTCGGTCAGGTCGTTGGGGGTTGGAGACACCTGTTAATGACGTCAAGTTGAAGGCACCTTTCAAGAACGTCAGAATAATACCTTTGTACGGTGGTACCAAGGTGTGAAGAGTTCGGTGAGCTTAAAATAAATTCAGTGACCTTATGTCAAATATAGACAGCTCTAATGAAGAGATCAATATAGACACTTCCAAAGATTACACGTCAAATATAGACAGCTCAAATGAAGACGTCAAATATAGACAGTTCCAATGAAGACACGTTCAAAATATAGACAGTTTAATGAAACCCTGTTTAAAAATATTGATAGTTCCACCTTAGTCACTCATAAAAGTAGCCAACAAAGTTTTAATAAGATAAGCTACCGACAAATCTCTTGAGTATACTTAGTAAAATCAAGCCTTTTTCAAGGATATTAAAGAAACTTTTTGATTAAAAAATCAAGAATTGTGACATGCATATTAAGAAAGTTTGAGACTACCTTTTTTAAAAAAAAAAAGTGTTTAAATTTAAACTTGTTTTTTAATAAATAATTAATTTAAATTAATTTAAGTAAACATTCGGCATTGCGTACCTAAAATTATGTAGGCCTACCTAGGACTACAGAACTCGTTATCTATCCAAAAAATCTTAATTTTCCTTAAGTTCGTTCCCCTAGCCTATATAGCTTTAATCCACTACCTAATCTACAAAATCTTTAATCCAATCCCTAGCCCATATCAAATCTTCACACGACGATTGAATCACACACTTAATTATAAATAATTCATCAAACTTTTCATCTCTACATCAAATTTTCTGCAAACATCACGAAATTTTTTTTTTAAAACACAAACACACGAAATCAACCGAATCATCTCTTTTCATTTTTTAACTTTTTATCAAAGACCACCGGTTCTCTGTATAAACTCATCCTGTTTAAGAAATCATAACTAATTGAGGATTAAAGCGGCGTGGATTAACTGTATCATACATTCGCTTTTACTCAAATCCGACGCTGTCAAAGCGATCCGTCTGTTCGGAGCCTACTCCAAAACGCTATCAAGAGATCTAATTCATTACAATAATCTCTGTCCAGGGGCACTATCGGGAAGGATAACTCGGGCTAATGCAGAGTGATTTTCCTTGATCGCGTTTGAAGCTGCATTGAAGCGAAAAGCTTTAGTCTCAGTTGTGAGTGTATAGTTGAAAACAAAATAATATGTGAAAAGAAACATTTGTCTTAAACTAATGGAATCAATGTATATCTGAGCTACAAATTCATAAATAAGATTAACTATTGCTTAAGAGAACTAAATATTATGTATTAAGACATTTAGACCAGCTCTAAATACAATTAGTAATGTGGTCAATGTTTCAGCATTATTTTTTGTTATCGGGTGTTTTACATATAGCTGTTGTGGCTGAAAACATGAGAACCACTGGCCCATCAGATGGGCAGGTATACACCAGACAGTAAAATAACAAACCCCACTTGTGGTAAAAACATGAGAACCACTGGTCCATCAGAAGACAGGTACACAACAGACAGTAAAATAACAACCCCCACTTGTAAAAACATGAGAACCACTGGTTCACTAGAAAGACAGGTAAACACCCCACTTGTGGTAAAAACACGAGAACCACTGGTCCATCAGATGGGCAGGTACACACCCCACTTGAGGTAAAAACATGAGAACCACTCGTCCATCAGAAGGGAAGGTACACACCAGACAGTAAAAATAACAAACCCCACTTGTGGTAAAAACACGAGAACCACTGGTCCATCAGATGGGCAGGTACACACCCCACTTGAGGTAAAAACATGAGAGCCACTGGTCCATCAGAAGGGAAGGTACACACCAGACAGTAAAAATAACAAACCCCACTTGTGGTAAAAACATGAGAACCACTGGTGTCCATTACATGGGCAAGTACACACTAGATAGGCTTAGTGTAATAACAAACCCCCACTTGTGGTAAAAAATATGAGAACCACTGGTCCATCAGAAGACAGGTACACACCAGACAGTAAAATAACAAACCCCCATTTGTAAAAACATGAGAACCAGTGGTCCATTAGAAGACAGGTACACACCAGACAGTAAAATAACAAACCCCACTTGTGGTAAAAACATGAGAACCACTGGTCCATCAGAAGACAGGTACACACCAGACAGTAAAATAACAAACCCCCATTTGTAAAAACATGAGAACCACTGGTCCATCAGAAGGCAGGTACACACCAGACAGTAAAATAACAAACCCCACTTGTGGTAAAAACATGAGAACCACTGGTCCATCAGAAGACAGGTACACACCAGACAGTAAAATAACAAACCCCCATTTGTAAAAACATGAGAACCACTGGTCCATTAGAAGACAGGTACACACCAGACAGTAAAATAACAAACCCCACTTGTGGTAAAAACATGAGAACCACTGGTCCATCAGAAGGCAGGTACACACCAGACAGTAAAATAACAAACCCCACTTGTGGTAAAAACATGAGAACCACTGGTCCATCAGATGGGCAGGTACACACCAGACAGTAAAATAACAAACCCCACTTGTGGTAAAAACATGAGAACCCCTGGTCCATCAGAAGACAGGTACACACCAGACAGTAAAATAACAAACCCCACTATTGTCTCAACACGCAATGATATTCATCGTGTTTCGAACATCAAAGGGATTCCTATCAAAATGCATTGTTTGATCGGCGTACAATGGTACTCTTTTATCGGGCTGTATTAATTCCGCGCATGCGCAGAAGAGCTGTGGTTATTTTTACACGCCGTGTTGCCGAGGGAGGCGAAGGGTGTTGGGTGAAATGGATGCGCTTGTTTGGGAATTTGAGGACCGGTGTCCTTCGATAAAAATAGTAATTTCTGGATCTGCGTTGTGCCTGTTTAATCAGTGGCATCCTCTGACAATTTGAGGACCTGTCTTTGTATCACAGAGCCGTGCAGTTGAGATTAAAAATAAAAAAGATCGATGCGATAAATTAATTAAATTTTAATCCTGTTCTAGATAGCGGATGCTGAAATACGCTAGATTTATTGAACAGTTCGGTATGACGAATCGTCTACACTTGGCGATACAAAAGAGAAGTGAGCTAACTCAGCCATATTATTTAGCAGTTATTAAAAAAAAAGCTGTTATGCTTTACACTTTACAATGTTTTTGTAATTCATGGTCATCAAAGGCATTACTCTACCTTCACCTACCATTCAAATATATAGATATCAAGAGTTAACTTAGCCTAATAAATACAGAAAGAAAAACACTCTGTCGCCGTCAAAGGAAATTAAACGTCTTCAGAACGTTATGAAGGGAAAAAAAATTGAAACAATTTTTGCCTGAGTTCGCGCGATGCTGGCATCAAAAGACCGCTAACTTGAGCATGGTGTTGGCGATAATTTTCTTTGAAGCTCTCCAACTTAAGAAAATGTTGATGGCGATTATAATCAAAAGGAGGCGGCGGGGCACACAGAAATCTCACGTTTTAACATGTATACTTTTTTACAGTATTTTTCTTTATTAAGGGATGGGTGGGGTACGGGAGTTATATACAGGTAGTGGTATACACGAAGGCGGTTAATGTAAGGAAATAAAAGACTGTTTCATAAACTGAAGAAATAGAAGACCGGACTGAGAATTAGGAATAGGATTCCAATTCTCATTACAGAAAGCCTATATATATATATATATATATATATATATATATATATATAAATATATATATATATATATATATATATATATATATATGTATGTGTGTGTGTGTGCGTGTATGTGTGCGTGTGACTACGTGTGCAGTTTGAGTTACCAGGTATGGAATATGTCAAATTATGTTGTGTTACATACGTATGTCTTTTGAGAGGTGTATGACTTAACTGAGGCGTGTCTTGGATATTATAATGGAGAACTAAATGGCTCATTGGTCTTGGATTTCACGGATTGGCGGATAAATAAAAATAAGGCTTAGATCATATTAATATCTTACAAGGCCAAGAGACATGTTTTGATCCGAAATCTAAAAATATAACACCAAACAAACGGAAAATCCCGTTGGTTGACATCTCACTTCAACCCTCATCAGCCTCCCCCTCCCTTTGTGATCCACACGACAGCTGTTTATACCACCAGCTCGCCAACACGACCCTCCCCGGGAGCTGCAAGTCACAAGCATGGGGTGGTTGGAGTATGAGACGACACCCCCCCCCCCCCCCACGGGATCACTGGAGCACCCCTGCGGTGATCTATCCAGACTTCGACACGTACGGGGAACGTCGTTTAGCCCCGCCACCAGCCTGCGATAGACTCGGTCCTTTTGAGCCCCCGTCTCAACCACACTCGATGAACGCACCGCCGGTCAAAGAACGGCCCCGTGAAACCTGGTGGGGAGGGGGGGGGGGGGGGGGGGAAAGATACAAGGGACGACTGGTTGCTCAGATCGTTTTTTTTTCTTTCTGTGTGGCGTAAATCCACGAGTCGCCGTATGGTTTAATGAATGGCGGAGCAAAGGTGTGTGTAAAGGGGGGGGGGGGGGGGGCTCAAAGACTGTCTTTTATTTTGGGGATTTAATTTGTTTTATTATTACCGCATTAAATTCTGAAACACTTTAATAGCGGATGAAAACTATAAGTTTTATGTGGACAAATGTAGCTGTTTTGCATTATATATATATATATATATATATATATATATATATATATATATATATATATATATATATATATATATATATATATATATATATATATATATACATACATCCAGTTTCACTCGTTTTTCGGCATTGGCAGAGTATTGAGTTTTTATTTGAGACAAATCTGTTCGTTTCGACGATATTATAACACATAGTTTCTTTCAGATATTTTTCTCCCGAGGTAAGGGGACTGACATAGAATTTCGTGGGGATGCTGGATTAAGTATAAATAACATACACATACATTTATTTAGTCTAGATGGGGGGGGGGTGAACTGTACCCCCACCCTCCTTCACCGAAGATATGTCTGAAAAAAACTGGTTGCATAAACCTCGTCTCCTATCTCATGGCGTTCAAGTAAAAAAATAAATTAGGATGGGTGGAACTGTATGTGGGGAGGGGGGAGATGTAAACGAGTGCAATCCTGGGGTCAACTTGGGTCAAGAAAGTCTTTGTTTATATTATAGGACAAGTTGCGTAATTATATTCTTGTATAGGTCTATATATTCTTTAATTTACTCATGCACTACTGTGTGTGTGTGTGGTGGCATGACTCGATACCTGTACGATGAACTATACACCACCACTTAGAGGGAGGGGCAGTGGGTATGCACACCTGTATAGGTGGTTGTGCAGCCGTGCCAGGTTTTTTAATCTAACCCCGGGGTTACCAGATCGCGACCCTATCAAACCTGGGGTCACTCCCCCCCCCCCCCCACCCCGGGGTCTAGATTACCCCCTATGAAATCATCGGGTTGTGGTCACGCACTCAACTACTTCCAAGCTCCGCTCAAGTAAACTCACGCAATGCACACTAACATTTAAAAAAGATATTAAAAACCTAAGAGTTCCTTCAGGGATTCTCAATAAGCAAGTCAAGACACACACACATACACATCACCTTCTAAACAACAGGTCGGACACATGAACATACACATTTCTGAAGACGGACCGGACCGGCAACAACAGCATACAACTTCTAGAAGACCGACCGGTGCGGTAACAACAACACCCAGCTTTCCGAAATGCGTATAACTTTCCAAAGACGGACCGGAGGCACATACAACTTTCTGAAGACGGACCGGAGGCACATACAACTTTCTGAAGACGGACCGGAGGCACATACAACTTTCTGAAGACGGACCGGAGGCACATACAACTTTCTGAAGACGGACCGGAGGCACATACAACTTTCTGAAGACGGACCGGAGGCACATACAACTTTCTGAAGACGGACCGGAGGCACATACAACTTTCTGAAGACGGACCGGAGGCACATACAACTTTCTGAAGACGGACAGGTAACCACACTCACCTTTCTGAAGACGGACCGGCACGATTCCGGCTCGGAGTGGGGCTCCTCCAACTTGATGACCCCGACCCAGCCGATCTCCTGGATATCAAAGTTCTCAGAGTTACAAAAGGTCAAGGGGTGGACCTGAGGATGGACAAAAGTTAGAGGTCATACGAGGTCAAACGGTTTACAGGGTCATACAAGGTCAGAGGATGGACAAACGTTATGGTAGAGGTTATACACGATGTCGCAGGATGGACAAAAGTTAGAGGTCATTCGAGGTCAAACGGTTTACAAGGTCATACAAGGTCAGAGGATGGACAAACGTTATTGTAGAGGTTATACACGATGTCGCAGGATGGACAAAAGTTAGAGGTCATTCGAGATTAAAGGTTTTATAAAAGTTACAGTTGTATGTCATACAAGGTCAGTGGATTGACACATGTTGTAGAGGCCATACAAGGTCAAATGTTTTATAAAAGTTACAGTTGTAGGTCATACAAGATCAGAGGATTGACACAGGTTGTAGAGGCCATACAAGGTCAAATGTTTTATAAAAGTTACAGCTGTAGGTCATACAAGGTCAGAGGATGGACACAAGTTAGGTTGTAGAGGTCATTAAAGTTCAAAGGTTGAGTTAAAGCTACGGCTATAGAGGTCATACAAAGTCAGAGTATAACTTAGATAATTACTTTACATAATCATTTAACTTTCCATTAATGATGGGTTTGAATCCCCGTTGTTAAGATGCACGAAGAGCATGGTCCTAGCTTGAGGTTACTACCCCTTTACCACCGCATACCCGTGCCATTTTTTCAGGAAGTTGGCAAAGAATTACATCCGGCATCTCACACCGATGTTAGTTTATAGAACGGAAGATAATTGGGACAAGGATTTATGTACGCACCAAAGACGATGGATTACGCAGCACGCTTTTGCACCGGTGCGAACCACTTATGTAGCGCTGAAGGATGAGGCGAAAAAGGAAGAAAAAAAACCGGCGCGGGACTTATTTATTTACGGTGTAATTATTACGCGAGGGTAGTGTTAGTCAGAACAGCTGGCCTTTCTGGTGCTAGAGTTTGAGAGAGTGGGGGTGGGGTGGGGGAGGGGGTTGAGGTGGAATCGGTGCCAGACATATTGCGGCTGGGTTTATTAAGGGTTTCGTGGATGCTGTGTTATAGGGAAGGTGAGACAGTGTTTGCAACATCTGCCGGCCACTTAAGGGACGGACGCAAAAAGAAAAGTGAAGAGAAGAGAGGGGTGTTAGGGTGTTTTTGTGGTGGTAGGTGATGCTCGTGATGTTGGGGTTAGGGTCAGGATGAGTGTAGGGGTTGCATATATTTTAAGTTTAGAGCTAATCTTGCTACGAGTGTAATAAGAATCAAAATATTCTTTTCTTGCCAAAAATGTCAATGTACATTGTAATTTCATTATATATGTAGGCGTGAGTGGACATGAAAAACTATGCTCAACACAAGTTTGTTTACATATTGATTCTTTATTGCAACCACCTTCAGATGAATTCAATAAATAAATTTATTAAAAAAAAACAAACAAACAAAAAAACAATATCTCGCTAACCTAATATTAGTCTTAACTCTGACACTACAGGGGGGGGGGGGGGGGGAACGTCGGATGGTGGAACGTACAACTGCTCCAGTTTTAATAAGATGTTGTATTATTTTATCATTGTTATTGGAATCCACTTAGCTCCGGCCATTGAATGAATTTTTAAAATCTAAAGTCACCAATCTAATACACAGTAGCTGACTTTACAGATTGGTAAACAAAAAAATCTTTAAAAAAAACCAAACGCTGAATGTTCTTTAATCTTATCAGTTCTTTTGTAATTTTTTTTTTAAAACCACAACCCAAAAAAACTTTTTTTAAAAAAAAGGGGAGGTTATAAAACGTGTCAGTACAGAGTTGTCCGTTCACTGCGGGCTGGTAGTCCTTACAATACACATGACAAGGAACCCTGTCACATGAAAGGGAGGCCACCAGTATTTAAATTTACCTCCGACAACTCGGTCAAAGAACTGCTCCGTGCAGTTGTCCCCCCTTCCTTTCCCCGTACAGTTGTATACAAAAAAAAAAAAAAAAACTATTAAAATCAGCAATACACTATATATGTAGGGAACTAGTACAAATAAAATTATTTAGATAGGATTATGAAAGATTTTTTTTTAAAAATTGTTTCACCGATTTCAAACAATATTATTTAACCGAGCTGTTTTAAAAATAGACTTCGGGAATATCCTGTGTGACAGTGGTCCAAAACTTTAAGCTAAGTCTCGTTGTTGAAATTTCTGCAACTAGGCCAAGGCTATCGGAGAGAGCACAGACAGAATATGGGCAGGTGTGTACATGGCACTGTGAACACGCCAGTGTGTACATGCCAGTGTGTACATGCCAGTGTCTATGGCACTGTGTACATGGCACTGTGTACATGACAGTGTACGTGCCTGTGTATTTGACACTACATGACTGTACGTGACACTGTGTACATGACAGTGTGTACATACTAGTATACCTGCCTATGTTGGCAATACAGATTGTATCTGGCAGGACATACAAACATTCTACCTTGTGATGGGGGTATGGTAGGTATTTGACAGACCTACATACGCAGTACTTTAATAAACTAAAGTATCGCCGTACTCTTATAGCTAGTATCGCCTGACTGTAATAACTAGTATCGCCGGTAATGTTGCTTCGATCCCTAGCCCAATGGTTTAAGTATCGTTATGGACAAAATCTACTAAATGAATATGTGAACACGGCAAATCAGCAGAAATTTGGTTTAGGTTTACTTGAAGGTTAGGTTAACATTTAGAATGAATATTTATTGAAAGTTTATTTTTACTTGATTGCTTATAAATGAGGGTACGTTTTACTGAAATGTTTAGTTTTACCTGAAGGTTTAGTTTTACCTGAAGGTTTAGTTTTACCTGAAGGTTTAGTTTTACCTGAAGGTTTAGTTTTACCTGAAGGTTTAGTTTTACCTGAAGGTTTAGTTTTACCTGAAGGTTTAGTTTTATCTAAAGGTTTAGTTTTACTTGAAGGTTTAGTTTTACTTGAAGGTTTAAAGTTTGCTTAATGTTAAAATTTCATGTATGTTAAGGTTGCGTGTAGGTTAATGTTTACTATTAGATTAGATTTAACCTTACTCCAAAGAGCACGTAGAATGGTAATGGAAAAAGTAGGCGGTGCTCGCCATTATGATAAAACACAGCCGTTACGAATAGAAGTGCAGTGGGTGATATATAATGGTGCTAACAGCTAGTGCTCTAAGCTGGTGCTATAAGACAGTGCTACGAGCTGGTGCTATAAGACAGTGCTACGAGCTGGTGCTTTAAGACAGTGCTACGAGCTGGTGCTTTAAGACAGTGCTACGAGCTGGTGCTATAAGACAGTGCTACGAGCTGGTGCTTTAAGACAGTGCTACGAGCTGGTGCTATAAGACAGTGCTACGAGCTGGTGCTTTAAGACAGTGCTACGAGCTGGTGCTATAAGACAGTGCTATGAGTTGGTGCTGTCAAGGTGCGAAATGCTGCAGGTGTTAAAGGTCAAAATCCTCCCGTTGCTGAACACATACCACCGCGAACCCCTAATATAAGTTGCACGTTAATCGTCTGTGTTCATCTCATCTAACATGCGCAGTGTGTGTGTGTGGGGGGGGGGGGGGGAGGGGGACTCTAGTTCCCTTACAGATCATTAGTTAATAAGTTAAACAATGTATAAAGAGAAACCCCCGATTCGATGTGTTAAAAGCGATTACGTAGAAATAAAAAAAAAACATCAAAGGCTGGGTTAATTCGGCAAATATATATAAAAAAAAGAGCACTAGTAAAATCAATGGTAGCATACCGCATGTTTCAGATCTGACGGTAGCGGTTGAAAGAGAGATGCATAAATAATTGTGTCGACACAGGCAATTATTTTCTCGCATTCAAAGGGTTAAAATAATTTATGAGAAGTAATTTTAAATTTCTCTTTGAAGTCCGATACGAGTAGTAGTATCGGGGTAATTGGTTTATTTGTAGGGGTGGGGAGGAAGGCGGGGGTAGGGCGAGCCGATAGCTCGGGCAATGTAAATGTCCCTGTGGCGAAAGCAAAAATCGAAGCATACACACAGTAATGATACCGTACGGATCTTTTCACTATAGGGTTGGTAGAGGTTCATCTGTTTCTGAGACATAGGCATGTAAAGGGATAGTGTGGTCAGCATTGTACCCTGAGTTATGCTTTCTACCAGACCCCTCGGTATATATATAAAGTATGAGGGGGGTGCAAATCGAAAGCTTGTCCCCGGGTAAAAATTGGACCCCCCCCCCTTGAGACGATCCTGGCTACGCCACTGCTTTCTACACCGTGAGTCAAGTACCCATCAGAGCTGGGAGGATTCAGGGAATCCGAACTCGAACCTTCCGGGTTAGCAGTCGTGAGCTCTATAATTCGACCATAACAAATGACCATGTTTGTGCGGGCTTAAGTATCGTATCGTATAACAGACGGCGTGGCCTAGCGGTAGAGCGCTAGACTGCTAACTCGAGAACAGTCTAGCTCTGGAACGTCCCCGAGTGCACTCAGCTCTGATGGGTACCAAACTCACGTTAGGGAAACAAAGGCGTCTGGGCATAGTGCTGACCACACTATCCCCTCATATGCCGAGGTCTCTGAAGCAGATGAACTCTACTGGAAATGATGATATCACATATCACACTTGTTTACTTACTACGCAAGCTAAAAGCTGTACTTTACTGTTAGAATGTAGCAGATGGATACTTCCGGGTATCAACGTGGGTCGTAAAATATTGTTTGTAGGGTATCACATGATCACTGCTTGATAGCAGTTTAGTTACATTTATATTTGTTAGGTGCTTTTCCGTTTAAGAGGGACGGCGTGGTCGGATGGTAGAGCATACGACTGTTAACCAGAAAGTTCAAAACTTGGGTTCGTGTCAGTAAAAATACATCATTGATTCCACCCGGCTCTGATGAATACCTGGCTCACGTTAGATAAAGTAAAGGTGGCTGAAAAAAAAGTGCTGACTACATAAGCCTAGTTCACTGAAACAGGTGAACTCTACTTCACCTGCCCCATGGGCCGTTAAAAGGCAGGTACCAGATGACGAAAGCTTGATACATTAAATAGTCTGGGAGAAGTGAGTTCTTAGTTTACTGACTCTGCATTATTATTGCCCCCCCCTTCTCCCATATCTAGCCTAACCCTAATCCACCACTGCATTATCAAATCGATATTATATGAAAAAAAAACCTATCGATAACTAGGACGATTTGTGCTGTCAAGCCCCCCTCCTCAGAGGTATAATGGTTTTAAAGTGCGAGTTTAGTGTGCGCGGTGTAGGGGAAAAGTGCGTGGTATCAGCTTAGATGTACGTAGATGTGTGCGTGTAAAGCTATTGTACGATTATAACCGAAACAGCTTTACGCAAATCTACACATTTTCGTATCGTGTTTAGTATAGTCATTGATCATAGTATGGCATGGTTATTTAGCTGAAGGTGTCCATTAGTATCCATGTATTATAAGGGATTATCCATGTATATTTTTTATATCCAAGCTATTTTAGACATTGTATCCCAGTGGAGTTCCCATTATAGATTTTGTACCCTAGTGAAGTAGCCATTAGTAGCCCTTTATATCCTAATGTTTACTATCGGTGTATCCTAAATCCTAGTTTTTAGTATCGGTGTATCCTGAATTTTAGTATCGAAGTATCCTTTGTTTAGTATAACTTTATCCTTTGTTTAATGTCTTTGTATCCTAATATTTAGTATATTT